ACGACGACTGCTAGCGACTGCTTCGACCTGGAATGAGCGTGTCCATGCACCATCATGCACCAGCATGCAGTCTATGACGGCGGAGGTATGCAGATGATGAGTGATCCGAGGATGCAGGCAGCTTGGCAGGTCAACGGCCTGATGGTATCCTGTGCCACATGAACGTGGGGTGGAGCGTTTGTAGGTTCCGGAGGACGTCTTATGGTGTTTGTGCGCGTGCCTGGCCAAGGCAATGCTGCAGCAGCAGTTGAGCAATCCGCAGACCCAGGCGATGATGCAGCAGATGGCTGCCAGCTGCTTGGCCCGACAGACAGGACGTGTGTCCAGCCAGGCCACCAGACAAGGAGCCACAGGCGAGACATGAGCATCACCCAAATAAGTGATGCCACAGGCACTAGGCAGAGCCCATCGACGCGTTTGTGCACATCCTGACAAAGTTGGCAGGGTTTGCTGTGTTGTGTCAGTTCAAACAGCCTCGCAGCTTCAGGCAACCCGGCCATGCAACAGATGCTGGCTGCTCAAGGCCACTTAGCTGACTTAGCTGCGAGGATGAGGGTGGGAGGTGTAGGGAAGCAACCAGAATCAATTCATGGTCTTGATGATCATAATGCTCATCATGACCATGCTGGTAATCATGAGCGGGCAAAGTTCGTCGAGTTCATCGACATCCATTGTGATGTTGCAAGTGAAGTTTCAACCATAGCAATGGTAGTTCTACGGTACGGGCACCAGGTGTCGCATCGCAGCCGGGGCTTAAACACTTCGTGGTTAGGTCACGAAGCGAACTCTGGCTCGACTCGTCAGGTGCATCAGGTGCGCCGGCGGTGGTAGGCGCGCCGCCGCCGGTGGTAGTGGTGGAAGCAACTGTCGTTGGTCAAAGCGAGCCTGCACGTGAAACAGCACCTCCGGCGAGTGGCAACGCCCAAGCATGAAGTGAGGTGTGACGCTGTCTGTGTACAGTCACGAGCACGTTGTTGCCGAATCCTCAGGGTGGGCAGGGTATGTGCAGGGAGAAACGGAATGATCTTCATTTCAGAAACTGCCCACCCTCAATCTTTCAACCTGACGAAAAGTTCCCGCCATCAGCCCCTACACGAACGTGTACGCGGCTGTCACCAGTAGGCTTTCTGTCGAAGTCGAAGCCTGTACAGACGGGATTGAACGCACACCGCAGTTGTGCGGTGGGAAGAAGCCAGCAGCACTCGGGATGCTGGCAAGTGGTGATCGCAGACGGCTAAGTCAGACGAAAAGAGACGATGACCTCGCCTCTTCTGCATGGACACCTGTGGTGTTAAGACTGCAGATGCAGCAACCACCCTCTGCAGCAAAGCTTTCAATGTCGCAGTCCACCGCACATGCTGAAGGATACTCGGCTGCCGAGAAATTCCGGACCTTCGCCAGCTGAGGAATCGCTGCGCGAGACAAGGGAAGCCGACGAGCGAAGAAGAGCGAAGAAAGGTGCGCCAGGGCAGGAAAAACGACGGCAATTCATTGTTGGAAAAGAGCTACTTTTACTTGCCCCCTACCTGACCCTACCCAGAAAATCACAGGTGTCCTCGGGCGGCTGAGCGGCAAGACAGAGGCAACTCGGACATGGCGAGTCAAGCGAGCCTGAAGCCAGATGGTCAATGAATCGATGCGAACGCAACCGGTGGAAGAGCGATGTTTAGTGAACTTTCAAGGACATGCCCCCCGAAATCCTCCGAACGAAGAGCCTTCCTGCAAAGCTAGAGGCACTGCTGAGCGTGGGGCTGACTCCCCCTAAGATGGGCTCCAGCAAGGCTGCTCGGTCTGGAGTTGCACATTTCACTCCAACGCATTCTGACAATTGCTCCAAACCTTCAAGACTTGGGCTGCGCAAGTCTTGTTGAGTGTCCGGCGAACGCCCGGAGCCAAGCCCCGAGGCCGAAGCCACTGCGGGTCCGCGCATGGTGCGCTTGGAAACAGGCTCGAAATTCCGGCATCGGAGCCAAGTGGTCGTTTTGAAATTGTTGAGGTGAATGGCTGCGCGTTGACGACGACCTCGTGGAACAGTATCCTGACGACGAGGCCAGCGTAACGTCCTGGTCAGAGAAAGTTCTTCACTGTTGCATGACAGCTAGAAACAGACATGTTTTAGCCAGGAGAAGTGGAGAGCACTCATGGCCTTCCGGACGCGCCTGGCGCAGAGCGGTGAGTCCGAAGGGTAAAAAAACCCGCTGACTGAATCCAACCCAGCTCGTCTTTCGACTGCTGGTCCTTGTATATTTTTTCCTTCTCCTTCTGATTGTCATGATTACTACTATCATGAAAAGTAATTTGCCACTGTCACTGCAGTCTGGGGTTTGAGGCTCGGCCTGCCCATCATTGACCCGCGTCAGCAAA